ATATTACCTGCACGTGTATAAGGGCACTCATGTCATGCAATACCCAAGGAGGTCAGAAGAGGGCCGTCAGAGTCCCTGGAACTGGGGTTGCAGATGGTTGTTAACTGCCACATGGGTGCTGGGAATCAAATCCAGGTCCTCTGCAAGAACAGCCCCATTCATCTTAACCACTGAGTCGTCTCCCAACCCCAAGAAGCATTTTATTTCTAATTGGTGTGTTTTCAGTACTGCTGGATTCTAGACCTTTCGAAGGCATTTTGGATTTTGTTTCCTCTTTCCTGGTTTTGTTTATGATGTTTTTGTTGGGCTTTGTCCTCAGTCACTCCTCCATTACCTAAATCTGCATTTTTCTGTGGATTTTTCTGTTTATTTCAACCTTGCTGCATTTTAGCTTAGGAATTTTGTGAGCACCAGATCATAAAGATGGTAAAGATAAGAGGCACTCTTCCCTCCAGTGTAACAGTGTGGAGGTGTTGGGGAACTCCCCATGATGTGTAACAACTTCATAGGAAAACCCAACAAACATTCCCCATTCCTAGGTCAGAGGGAACTTTACTGGCTCAGCCAGGAAGATCCACATAAGTGCTTGAGCTCCTAGTGTCTTGAGGTCCCTTACATTTCTGTAAACTTAGAGGATAACCCCCAAGACCCAGTGGGAAAAGACGGTCTCAGGGTGAAAGCTGAGAAAGTCCATCCCAAAAGCAGCACATAAAAGGAACCCAAATACATATTCCCCATCTGGTATAGAAAGACTTGCAATTTTTCAGAGGAAAGAAAAGAATGGGAAAGTTTCCCAAAAGGGGCAAGTGTTTAAAGATAAACCCTCATCTCACACTCCAGCTGCCTTTATGTATGATTATGGGCTTTCACCTTGCAAGTATTTGGAAAAATGGGATCTCTGACCAATGATAATGTGGCTTTATGATTCCCTCAATGGGGAAATTTGATGCTCCAGAATTGGCATTTTTATGTGCAAAACTAGAAGTCCTAGGCGATAGAACAGAAGACGAATGAGCAGCCTATTTTAATTGGAATTTAGAAGCATCTAAAAAAAGAAATGATAACTGATGGGCGTGGTGGCACACACCTTTAAACCCAGCACTTGGGAGGCAGAGGCAGGTGGATTTCTGTGAGTTCGAGGCCA